GCGGGGCCCCGTGCGGGTCAGAGCTGGGGGCGCAGCGCGCCCGGGGGCGGGGCGCGGGGCTGGGGAGTGGAGCCGCTTGAGGCCGGGGATCGGAAGTGCCACGCAGAGCCGAGCAGGGTCTCCTGGTGCACATGGCGACTGTTCCCCGCAGACTCCCCGACTCCTGAAGTGATCGAAGCCGTCTTCTAGGGCTGCTCTGCCCCTTTGCTCCCCACAGAGCCGGCTCACTGTTACCATTGCAGAGCCGTGGGCCACAGGAGTGTCTGACTACGTGGGGGCGAGGTGGGGGAGGGTGACAGTGACCCTTCCCCAGGAGGTGGCGTCTCCTTTTTCTCATAATGATCTTGACATCCCGCGAACCCTTGGATCTACCCATTTAGCAGGCTACAGTTCTTGGCGCCAAGGTGCCCCGACTGGCCTGTGTCCTAAGAGCAGTCTGTGAAAGGTGAGGAGAGAGAGCTCGGATTTTACAGTCAGACTGCTGTGACCGAGATCCTGGCTCTGAGCTTGTAATAGGTGCACCATACAGGGCGACAGCTCTCCACTGCCACCCCTCCACCGGCAGAACCTGGTGCAGCCCAAAATGGAAAGAACCAGGAATTTGGGAGAAGTCACTTATCTCGCAAAGGGGTAGAGACCAGTTCAATGTCCGGCAAACTGCGGGAGAGACAATGGGTACTCTTGCTTTACTGTGTAAATGTGTTCCTAACAACTTGCAAGTAAACTGTCTTTCATGCCATCCTGAGGTGGGACTTGGAGAAAGGAGGGTTTTTAGTTTGGTTTGGTATGGTGTTTCGTTTTTTGTTTAATCTCAATTAACTGTGAAATGAATCTTTGGAGACCCGTGTGTATACGAAGCAGGTTCGGAGAGCTGAAGGGTATTACTGCCCAGGCAAATCAGAGCATTCGATTATTTGGAAATGGCACTACCAAACTGGTCTGCAGTAACTTCGGGAAGAATAAAGTTCCACTTTCTGGTCTTTTAAAATTTGCGAGGTTGAGCCAGACCGGGTTTTGTGTGTGAGGCTGGTCGAGCAAGACGGAGGTGGTGGAGGGACGGTTGGAAGGAGCAGCTGGGAGGTTGAGCAGGCTGTAGCCACCCAGTTCCTGTCTTCTGCAAGCCCTCCAAATGATCTCAGGATAAAATGGCTTTCATTCTCAGCGTATCCGTTTTCTAAGCTACAGAGGGAGACCCTGTGGGGATAGGAGGGAGATGTCATCCCGTAAGGACTGCTTATCTTCTCCCTGCTGCACGGCCATCCCAGAGATACTCCCCTAGAAAACTCAGGGGTCCCAACTCCAGTCCACCCCCATCTTCCTGCCTCAAGCAGGGCAAGTCAAGAGGGACAGATTACAGCTGGGACCCCAGCAGCCTGACTCATGAGCCGTGGGCTGGGGCCTTCCCTGGAGCCAGTCTTGGCAAACAGAAAGCAAAACCTCACCCTGCTTCTCTACCCCCACCCCCTTCCCTGGGGCTACAATGGTTGCTTTTGTTGGCACATATTGTGTGTCCAAGCTCTTTCCCACTGAGGAAGGCTTTGTTAAAAAGAGAGGACTCCGGGGCATAATTCAGAGTCTGGGCCAGAAGGTGGGGGGAATGACCCGGTAGCCCCATATCTGAAAATGAACCTGGCCAAACCAAAAAAATCCACCAGTGTCAGTTGGGGACACTCCTAGGAAGGCAAGCTCTGGGTTTCCCAGTCTCTTGCCTCGGGACTTTAAAGGGCACAACGGCTTGAGGGTTTCTCTGGCTAGTGGTCCTGCAGCCCTCATCCAACACTCACTCCAAGGCCCCAGAGGAGGAGGGCAGGACCCACAGTTTACACTGTGGAGCCAGAAAGCTATTGGAAAACACTGCACATGCAGAGGAGATTCTGAAAACCAGATAAGACGGGGGGTGAATGAGCAGAGTCTCCAGAACATTCAGGGATTCTGGGCAGGAGGGGCTCAGAGGAGTGTTTCATGGAAGACATGGATCCAAGCTGAGGTTCCATGGAGGAGGTGCTCCTGGTCAGAGATAGCATAAAGAGGATGTGAACCGCCTGCCTGAGTGAGTGCCCCAGGCTGGAGGAGGAGAGCCTGTACCAGCTGAGATCCATGACCCGGAAGACCCTGGGACAGAGGCCAGACAGCAGGTGGACAGGTCTAGCACCAGGTTGCTGTGAAGAGTTTGAGAGAAGTGGAACGAATGAGTTGAGCTCAGGCAGTCACAGGAATTTACCGTGAAGAAGGCGGTCCCAGCCTCCAGCCAATGTGCCTCTGAACATAGACAAAACTGGAGACTTCGAGCTATGAGAGTGCCGAGACAGTCTCCAGTCCTGTGTCCCAGCCCACCGTACAGTTAGGTAAAAGTAAACAGGTCCAGAGAGGAAAAGGACCTGCCTCTGGTCACATACCTAGTTACGAGAGTAGGGCCGGAGGACCAGCAGGTGGTGTGACGGGGCCAGCAGGTGGCGTGGTGGTTAAGGTGATGGACTCCCACATGGTCAGATGTGGTTCTAGTCCTGGACCTAGCGGCTTGCTTTCTCACTTTCTCTCTCTCTGTCACTCTCTGGTGAGCACACATGCCTTATAGCAAATTAAAAATAATAATAATAAATTAATAACTTCAACCAAAAAAAAGGATAGGGCCAGATTGCCTGACTTCAAATCCAAGACACCTGTTCTCTTACCAGTGCAGCACCACCTCTGCCGTGCCAGCACTCTTCCTCCTTCACTCCACATTCCAAGAAGAAGATGAGGTAGTTCATGCTTGAGATTGCAAAATCTCCCTACCACAAGGGGAGTCCCAGACCCACCCCTGGCCCAAGGAAGTAAGAGTGTCAGCTTAAAGCAAGGCCCCAGAGAGAATGCTGGGGTGACCCAGATGCACCCTGTTGTCACGTCTCAGGAGACCCAGCAGGGAGCTGTCATTTGCTGTGCTAGCTCTTTATCGCCCCCTGGGGGTGAGGACCCTGGCTCACGCCCAGGGACTTTGTCTTAAAACCCTGGTGTAACCTGCCGCCTGGGACTCTTGAAGTGCTCAGGAGGGAAGAGGGAGGTTCCACCCAAACTCCAGGAAAGCCACCACCATCCACTTAGGCAGCTGGTTAGGAAGCTAGGCAGCAAGACTTCCATAGTCACCTCTCTCACCTGCCACATCAATCACTTCCAAGTTCCATGGAATCGCCTCCAACAGATTACCCAAATGCAGGAACGTCTTTCCATCTGAAAGGCACCCCCTGCCCTACCCAGACCACCAGCATCCCTTCTCTGGACACTGCTGTCCGTGTGTCCTAACGGATCTTCCCCCTTCTCTCTGGTCCCCGGAATCTCTTCTCCAACAGCATCCAGGGGAGATATTTGAGAGATCTGTGGCTCTCTGCTCTCACACCTCCAGAGGCTCTATCCAATTTCCAGGCCAATGATCTTAGCGCATCAGCAATCTTGGGGCCTGCCCTGTGGCCTAGTGGTTAAGTGAGCTAGATCCCACACGGCCCACCATACAGTTCAAATCCCAGCCCTGGTGGCTTGTAAAACACACAACCCATGTGTGTGATGCCCAAAATCCTGATGGAATGGAGAATGGAGGAGAGGGGATTGCAGCATGACCACGCCCTGCTGGGTTGCTTTCTCCTTCCCCCCTTCCTCCCCTCTCTCTATCTGGCCAATGTATGCACCCTCTGGCAAGTTAAAAAATAAATCCTGACTCCTTCTGACCAGGATTGTGGGCCCTTGGACTGTTCACTGTTGAGTCCCATCTTAGCAAAAAGAAGAGGAAACAGTTTGGAGCTGCTGAGAGCCACCATTGTATATGAAGGT